ACGCTGTGTGCAGGGGAGCGGTGTGGAGAGGACGCTGTGTGCAGGGGTGCGGTGTGGGTGAGTGTGGCTGCTGCAGCACTTCCCTCTCTTAACACAGAATAAGGACCCCTGGGGTGTGCTGAAGCTCCTGTTCAATCTGCTTCCCCACCTGGGAGATGTCCCTGTCGCCATCCTGCTCATCCTTAGCCTTGGCCCTGGAACCCTTGCTGGTCTGGGCTTATACATCCTCCCCGAGGTGGACCAGACCCTAGCTCTTCTTTTTAATTTTAAAACTTCTGTGTGCACAGTGCCTATGCACTATGTATATGTATATGTATGTGTATGTATAGTGTATATTCACTCCGTGCGTGCCGCACCCGAGGAGGTCAGGAGGTGACAGATCTCCTGGAATGGGAGCTGCTATGTGGACGCTGTGAACTAAACTTTGGTCTTCGGCAAGAGCAGCTAGCGCTCTGCCCAGCTCAGCCCAGCCCTTTATTTCGCTGTTCTCAGTCGGTGAGATAGGCTCTGGCACCCACTCTGCTCTGTAAGAACAGAGCCGCGCCATCTTCTTCCTAGAGACACTGAAACCTGTGTGCCCTCATCTCCTAGCAGCAAACTTTGTGTGTGGTGATACTTCTACTTCTTTATTTTTCAGAGAAAATTACATGTCTTTGGAGATCATCTGGATTACAATTGGGGAAAACACAGCTTCAAGCCATCTTACAAATGTGATTGCTGTTGTCATTTTGAAACCCATGTGGTCACTAATTTAAACCCACTGGCAAGGAGGAATTACAGGAGATGAAAAAGGTACTGGGTGTGGCAGGACACGCCTTTAATGCCAGCACTCAGTCACGGTGTATACTGTAAGTTCCAGGCCAGCCAGGGTTACACAGACACCCCCACCTCAACAAGACGAAACTAAAAAACTAAAGCTGCCAGCCTGGTCTACAGAGTGAGCTCCAGGACAGCCAGGGCTGTCTCGAAAAACCAAAAACCAAAAACCAAAAAAACCTAAAGCCAAACCAAACCAACCCAAAACCTAAAACAAACCCAGAGAAGTGGCTAACACAGACTGACCCAGGGTTACACAAGCTCACAATGCCAAGGGCCGACCCACTCCAGAGGCAGATGCTGCCATACAAAACTGCCCCACTACAAACAGGGGCTAGGACTACAGCGAGCAGCGGGGCCCAGTGCACCCTCTCCGCTCCACGGGACCCCACTCACCGTCGCAGTCAAAGAGCGCAAACACCACGTCACACACATGGTCCGACAGTTCGACCTTCGCCACTGTCCTGGCCACTTGCTGCATGGTTACTGAGGGAAGACAATGCTGGTTAGCGCTGTCCAGACATCTCCATTCTCCTCTCTCCCATGGGGGCTAAACCATTCAAACTCTGCAGCTGGATTCAGGGCGGAGTCGAGAAAGCAAGGCTGGCTGGGGGGGGGGGGGGCGGCCCACGGTTACTTTAGCACTGAGGATGGTGAAGGAGGAGGATCAAACCTGTGAGGGCAGCTGGGGCTACACAGTGAGAACCTGTGTCAGAGCCACAAGCAAAGTCCAAACTCATGGAGGGGGCAGCAGCCAGTCTTCAACAATCAAAACTGCCTGTCTCAGTGATGTGGCACTTGGGTGGCATGGGCCAGGCCTCGGTTTAAGTCTCAATGCCCAGCAGTGAAGAAAAAAGGAATTTAACCTTTATCCACAACTCCTTTTCTTTACACCTCAGGGTATTTTGTTTGTTTGGTTTAGTTTGGTTTGGTTTTTTCGAGACAGGGCTTCTCTGTGTAGCTCTGGCTGAGCTGGAACTCCCTGTAGACCAGGCTGGCCTCGAACTCACAGAGACCTGCCTGCCTCTGCCTCCTGAGTGCTGGAATTAAAGGTGTGCACCGTCAGCACTGCGTGTCCTTCTGGGTGTGTTCTCTATTACTGCTATTGATACTTAGCATGGCGGCACACAGTCCTAGCAGGTGGGAGCTGAGGCAGGAGAAACCAGTTCAAGGCTAATGGAGCTACACAAAAGGCTCTGTCTCCCCCCAAAAAATCTAATATAAAACATTTATAGAGGCCGGGCAGTGGTGGCGCACGCCTTTAATCCCAGCACTTGGGAGGCAGAGGCAGGCGGATTTCTGAGTTCGAGGCCAGCCTGGTCTACAGAGTGAGTTCCAGGACAGCCAGGGCTACACAGAGAAATCTTGTCTCGAAAAACAAACAAACAAATAAACAAACATCCGTTCACTGAACCCGAACCTCAAGCTCATTGACTAAAGCCTCAGAGATCTCCTTTCTATCCGCCCTGGAAAGTTACACGTGGGCACTGCTGCGTCCAATCTTCTTATTTATTTATGTATTTATTTATTTTTGAGACAGGGTCTCATTGTGTAGCTCTGACTGGACCTCACTACGTAGAGACCAGGCTGGCCTGGAACTCCATATATAGACCAGGCTAACCTCAAACTCACAAGAGATCTGCCTGTCTCTGTCTCCTGGGTACTGGGGTTAAAGATCTGTGTCATCATGCCCCGCACGGGTCCTGGTTTGCATGTGGATGACCAGAACTCGGATGCTGGCATCTGAACTCAGAACCTCACACTTGCATTGCAGGCACTTCATCTCGCCAGCCCCGAGCAAGTTCATTAAAACATTTCTACCAGAAGACTTCCTTTAAAACAAACCAATAGCTACGGTCTCCTCAGCGGCTTCCCGGGACGGCAACAACCGGATAGCAAAAGTCAAGGAAACGAGTAGGCGGTAGGAGGGGCGGAGCTGCGGCAGGAGGGGCGGGGCGGGCAGGAGGGGCGGAGCACCGACAGGAGGTGTGTGCACCTTAGTTCCAGCCAGTCTGGGATCCGCACGGTGAGCTGTTTGCTCTGCTAGCCACCTCCTCCTGTCTGCTCCGACCATTTCTTTACCTGTACCCCTGAGAAGCAGGGCACTCGGTCTCAATAGACCACCACACAGCTTCTATTTAAGGTTTTTTTTCTCTGTAGAGAAGTTCTCTTCTGCCATTTTCCTCCCCTGACATTTACTATGAAATATTAGCGATCATGTGGAATTGGTTTTCCATGAAAGACGAGCCAGGAAGAACTAGGCAATTCCCGCTGTCTCCCTCTCATCTATCCTCACGCCTGGCTTACCTGTGCCTATAAATTATGTTACTGCTTACAGTCTAGCCCCAAAGTGAAGTAAAGCTTACAGGAAGGAAAAGAGGCTGGAGAGATGGCTCAGGGGCTCGGTGCACGTTGTGGTTTTGCAGAGGACCTGGGTTTGATTCCTAGCACCCACAAGAAGGTCCCAACCATCCGTAACTCTAGTCCCAGGGATCTGCAGCCTTCTTGACTTCCTTGGGCACTAGGCACACACAAGGTACACATACATACTTGCAGGGGAAACATCTGTGTACATAAAATAAACGGAAAAGAAAAGGCGCAGGGTCTGCTTATGGCCTGGCTGTGCCACCACTGGCTTGGACTCCGCGGAAGCGCTGTGGCCAGCGACGTGCACCTCTTGCTATTTCACACGTTAGCATCAGTTCCAGTTTGCCTCGTCATTATTTTTGAATTTTTCTCACTTGCATCTGTCACTTCCATATATATCCAGCACGTGGCCTCTGAGGTCGGCAGACGCCGCTATGGCGGGGCAGAACTGTGATGGGTGTCAGGAGAAAGGGCTCTCTGGGGGCTCCACCCTGACAGCTACCTGATGGTTTAAGGTTGCTTCTCTCATATTCAAATCTGAGGATCCGGAAGGAGGCTGTTGGGGTTCTTGGCACACCGGGGACTTCACTGCTGTTATTTTACAGTGTGAGGGTGAGGATGGACATGGGGTGGAAGTATCTGGGAAGGGCAGAGGCTCTCGCATAGCTCTGTCTCAGGATTCAAAGCCTCGAGCTAAAGAGGGACAAAAGCTGTTCAGCAGGTGGAAAGAGCTAGGCTCTTCTTCCTGCAGCCTGGGCCTCTCTTCAGATCACCCTCTGTCCCACCCTGTGACTAATGGTGAAGGAGAGGCCAGTGTGTTTTGGAACAAAAAGATTTAGGCAGAACCAAATGTGGTAAGTTCTCATGTGCTGGGGATGGACAAACTACAGTACCAAGCTTGAGAAACTGAGCAGCACAGGAAGAACTGATTGCTGCTAACTTCACTGTATGGAGGGAGGGGGGAAGAGGGAGGAGGAAGAGGGTGGGAGGGAGGGGGAGGAAGATGTCATCAAAGGCAATTTACAAGGAGAATAAGCTGTTCTTTATACTTCCGTAAGGAGGAGCTCTCCTAAGGAAACTTGGTTGACTTTGGGAGATCCCTTGGGGAGGACAGAATGAGGGTGGAGAAGTGGGTAGTCTCAAACACTGCTACCCTAGGACTTCCTTCCACTGCCGCAGGACTCCCAAGAACCTCCTGTGGCTGGAGTGTGCTTTCTGCTGGCTGGACTATCAGCTGCAGGCTGCATCAATCTCATGTTTTAACTGCTTTAACGACTGCCTTGCTGCTCTCTCCCGAGGCTCCTGCTCTCTCAGGTAAGAGGCCTGTCCAGTCTTGCGACTCTCAGACTCATCTTTCTCCTCATGCCAACAGCACTCTGCTCCAATAAACCAGTAAGCAATCTCCAGGCATGTCAGCAAGAGAGAGCCCTTGACAGTTTCCACTGAGTAGCTCATTAGGCTGGTATTAAGTGCTTGTAGAATGGGGGACTCCTGGAGACTGCAGCAAGAACACAAATGCCGCCCCTCACATGACAGGGAATGACCTGGAGGGGATGCTGGTGGCCTGTGTACTACCAGGGCTGCTAAGTCACTGTGACTCCTGGGGATGGAAACCGTCTTGCTGGGGTGCCCTTTTCATAGCAAAAGAGGTCCTTGGAGAGGCCCTCAGGATATGAATCAGAACACACAGAACAAACCAACTAGCAGGGACACTGTCAAACTGGGAACTGTGGGGACTGGTGGGATGACAGCAGATTACAAGCCAAGTGCCTGACAGCTGCTCCCGAGAGCAGGCTCATTCACAATGTCTCCAACATCTCTAAATCACAAAGCCGTAATTAAACCACAGCGAAGAGGGCTTCCCTACCCCCACCCTCCTGGACCTCAGCTCTCCTGTGCAGACCTGTTGTTGGTACTGCGACTTGGGCCTCTCCTATTTGGTGACTGTAATTCTGAAGCACATGCTTAGGCCTTTTATGATAGTTAATTTCCCCTGGCAACCCGATGGTATTTAGAATCACCATGGAACATCACCCCCTCCTCCCCGCCCCATCCCATGTCTGTGAGTATGTTACTGGGTTGTGGAGAAAAAGCTCACTTCAAATGTGGTCGGTATAATTCCATGGGCTGGGGATCTGGACTAAATAACAAGGAGACCGTGAACTGGGCATAAACATCCATCCCTCTTCTCTTCCTGGCTGTGGAGCTGGCGCTGCCTCCTGCCGCCACGCCTTCCCTGCCCTGACACACTGGACCTCCCGGCTGCACCCAAGCCAACCCTTCCCTCCTCCAATGCCTTTCCCTCTCCTGTGTATGCATGTGAATGTGGTACATGCACAGAGGGCAGAGGATGACGGTAAGATGTTGAATGCCCTGTTCTGTTACTCTCCTTACGCCCTGGAGGCAGGGCTGCTCACTGAACCTAGAGCTAGGCTGGCGACCAGCAAGTCCCAGCCATACTGGTTCTGGACCCCACAGTCCTAGGGCTGCAGGTGTACGGCTGGCCATGCCCAGCCAAATTAAAGCCTGGGTCCTGGTGCTTGCACAGCAAGTGACATCACTGGCCATCTTTCCAGCCTGTTAGGTTCCTTTCTTTTCTTTTCTTTCTTTTTCTTTTTTAAGATTTATTTATTTTTATATACATGAGTACACTGTAGCTATCTTCAGACACACAGAAGAGGGCATCAGATCCCATTTCAGATGGTGTAAGCCACCATGTGGTTGCTGGGAATTGAACTCAGAACCTCTGGAAGAACAGTCAGTGCTCTTAACTGCTGAGCCATCTCTTAGGTTTCTTTGGGCAAGTATTTTGTCACATGGATTGAAACAAGTAACTAATATAGTCTTCCAGGGATTTTTTGTTTTTGTTTTGACATAAAAATCCTAATATCCTTGCAATTGCCAAAGTGTTCTTTGTGTTTCTGAGATGAACAAGCCAACAGCACACAAGTAGTTTCCAGATGGACTGTGGATCCCAGGAAATACCAAATCTCGTTGGGATTTTCAAGCTCTGCCCTCTAACTCCTCCATTGAGTTGGTCACCAAGGGCCCAGGGGTCAGTCAGTCATGACTGTGTAATGATGCTCCCTAAGAGCCTCAGAGCACAGGCTTTGGCAAGC